CAGGATTTCCCAAGGACTGCTGGACTGACCCGAACTGGCAATGAGGGGGTAAAACAAGCAAACACTTAAGTGGGTAATGACCGCAGAGGTGCAGACTACCCTGGAGCCAAGCCCCCAAAGCTGGCTGGGCAGAAAGGGCAGAAAATTCAAAGCCCAGAGAAAATGAGGCAGTTGGGTGTTGAACCTCTGGAGCTGAGTCACTCCCTCCACAGACAGGCTTTGAAAGCGGCTTACTCCATTTTCCTCCTCCTCATTCCCCAAAGATGGAGTCACAAAGCCTGGACTACCCGAGAGGGCCTGAGAACGCTGACCCCCAGGACGTCCCACCAAGCTGATGGGACGGGTACAGCTCAGCCATGAGGATGACAAAGCCTTCCTACAAAGCATACCATGCAAGAGACCCAGTTCATTGCCGGTGCCTAGCCTGAGACCCACTGGAACTACAGGCCACCACAGAAACCTCAAAGTGAGGGCCAAAGGGCAGGCAGGTAGTTGGAAGGGTCCCAGGAAATGAAGGGCCAGTACAAAGCAAGACTTGAGAAAAGAGAAGCTGGCTCCCCAGTCCAAACCAGTGGGTAGCTAGACAGGCACTGCAGGTGAGTAATATCACCCCTTCCTGCCACAAACAGCACAGGAGGCAGCAACAAATCTGAACTGAGTCCTTAGTCCCTAGGCCTGCCACTAACCTATCCAGGCTCACTGTCCTCATCTGTGATGGAAACAGCCTGACTCAGCACCTCCGTCTAACATGGAAACGTTAAGATTCCACCAACTGCCCTTAATTGCTTGTCACAGTACTCCGTCTGACTCTAGGGTAGAAACTGGTTATGCAGTTGCCTGTGAAGTTTCTCCTCACTGATTGAAAGATGACTGCCCTCACTGGCAACTTAGCCTGAGATCTCTCAGTTTTTGGCAGTGAGTTTTGGGTAGCACTGGTCCTGAGCGCCACACATAAGACCAGCCCTAAGAGAGTCTGAGGGTTCATCTTCACCGTCTCCTTGGCTGGATTTGGAATCACAGAGGAAATACTCTGCATCTGTCTGTGAGGAAGTTTCCAGAAGTGTTTAAGTCTGGAGGGAAGAGCCATCCTGGATGTGGGTGACCACACCATAGGCAGGTGTCTTGGACAAACAAAATGAAGAAAGGAAGCCAAGCAGAGGATCGGCATTCATCTGATCTGACCAGAGACGATTTGACTATCCACCACAGACTGTCCCCTCACGATGGGAACCAGTCTAAACCCTTAGGTGGCTTTGGTCAGGGTTTTTTGGTTTCTTTTTTTTTGGGGGGGAGGGCCACAGTAACACAGCCCTGTCTAGGCAGCTTTTTCCTCCCCATCTTTGAAGTAATTAAAGTCATGGGTGTAGAAGGCCTGGCAGGGTCTTTCTGCACAGTCCTCAGGGAACCACAGGAGACCAGAGCCTAGGGAGCCACTCCAGCTGTCCTGTGACTGAGCCCATTACATCTATGCTTGCTTCTGACCTGTAAGCAGCTCCCGTGGCTGGGGTGCCCTGGAGACACACAACTTGGGCTTTCATAGGCAGCAGTCCTCTGACTGGGCTTGGGCTTCCTGGATTCGAGTCTTTGGGGGTTCAAAACTAATCCTCTGGCCAGGCAATTGGGCTCTCAAGCCCTGCCCTTCAAGCACCCACAGCTGGGCCCCTCGGAGTTGCCCTTACACCTTCTGGCAGTCCTGGTACCTCTCAGTCTGAGGAATAAACCAACTGCCTACCAGAACAGCTTCCTCTCAGGCCAGCCAGAACATCTCAGGTCACCAACAAGTGCTGGCTTAGATCCCAGAAGAGACAAATACCAGAAGACACAGACCAGAGACCTTAGGGGCCCAGAAATTAAGTGGAAGAAACAGGGAAAACAGCAATAAAAAGCATCTGTAGAAGCTAGGGTCGGGGGAGCCAGGGACAGGGAAGGTGAGCTCTTAGCTGAGACTCCATGCAGGGACTGGGCCCTGTTCAACGTCTGTACAGGACAGACTGTCCAGGAAGAGAGAAAAGGAAGAGGAGTGTGGATTGTCGACCCAGTGTCTGCACCCAGTATTTATGGATGTTTCACTTGATTTGAGTCTCCAAACGTGGGCTCAGTGAGGAGACAGTGTCCCTCACAGCTCCTTCCTGCAACAACAAGACTGACATCACTGTTGTCAGGGAAATAGTGTTTTGATTAAAATCACATGACAGCTACTTCATGATTCAATAAACAAACCCACTGTTAACCCTCGCCTGACAGTCTTGCCAGCAGCTGTGGTCAGAGGGCAACCTCTACCCTGGAGGGAGTGGCTGTGCCAACCTGGAGGTAGCAGTGTGACCAGTGGCCCAGGCTGTTCCCCGGCAGCTCCTGCATTTGAGAACATGATTCATCAAGCACAAAGACCATGCAGACCTCAAGAGCCTGTCTCCATGACACAAGTGACACTCAACCTTCCCCAGGACGAAGCCTGGGCTGCTTTCTTGGACCAAGCGGCAGACACAGTCTTAGACATCAGATGACTCCCTTAGGGCTTTGAGACCAGTCAAGAACTAAGCTCCCAGAGTTCTCCCTATGAGAACTCTGATCAGTGAACAGATCAGTGGCCACACACCATAGAAAAGGGTTAAGAACAACTTCTGGTTTGCAACTGGATGACTTCCTGGATCTCTCACTTGGCTCAAGGCCCTGACATGAAACACTCTGCCCAGCAACAGCAAAATCCTTTCCATTTCAACCCCAGAGCATTTGCTTTAAGTGAAACAAAAGCAAGGCAGGCTCCCTGAGTCACAGAGGAGGGGATTTTGTGGAACTGCAGCCTCAGAGCAATAGCACAGCTGGCTTCTGGGGAAGGTTCCCAACCACCTGAGACGTGTCCAAGGTAAACAGGTACCACAAAGGTATCTGGTTAAATGCTTGACGAGGTACACAGGAAAGGAAGCTCAAGAAATAACAGCTAATGCTCTCCTCAGCTGGGCAGAGCTCTTCAGAGCAGACCCAATCAGCTGTGGCGGGGGCAGATGCCTCAGTGGTCAGGGCTTAGCTCAGGAACACTCCTGAGCTAAATGGTCCTGAGTATGTTGGAAAACAGAACTGCTCCATTCTCATTTAAGAAAAGTGTGGCTCAGGTCCCTAAGAATCACAGTTCCTACTACTCCAGTCAAGTCTCTTCTTTAAGTCAAATTCTACAGAGCAGTCAAAGGGACATGAAGGGCTGACATCTTGAGTGTCTGCCAGGCTCAGGCTGCTGAGGCTTTGGAAGCAGCACTTCTCCCCCCACCCCACCCCCCATCACACAGCACCTCTGAGACTAGCTGAATTAGAGACAGTAGGCCAACTTAGGCAGGGGACAGCAGTGTACATGGACACAAATGAAATATTGTGTGGCCTCCATTTACATCAAGTAAAGAGCCAGGTAATTTAAAGACAGCCCTTTTGTCAGTGGTTTAACCACACAAATCCACTGGAGTCAGTACAAGAGCACCTCCTGCAGTCACTGTATATAGCCTGATATCAACACGAGGCAGGCCAGGCTCTCCACTCTTAAATCATAACCACCCTTCTATCACTGGTCCTGAGGCCACAGCCCGGGCCCCAGAGACTGCTGAGCTAGAATTCTGCATCCCTTCTCCATGTGGTTGTAGGAGGCAAAATGGGTTTGTAAAACATCCAGGAAAACATCAGGCATGGCCTCTTTGTCCTGAATGGAAACAACTCCCTAAATAGAACCATGTCAATAACTTTCCAGCCTGTGAAGAAAGTTTACCAGCTCTTCCAGTCTACCCTTTGGTTGCATGGGTCTTGTCTCAGACTGTAGAAAGACCTCAAACCACAGATCTGGACAAGACCACCACTCTACAAAGGGTGTAAAACAGAGCAAGACTTTACAATACACTCCCCTAACCCTTAGAGCCAACAAGCTCTGCTGGCTACCCAGAGCCCAAAAAAGGACAGGGCTCTGACCCCAAGTTCCAGGAGCACTTACCTTTCCAGTGTCCTCTCCAGGCACTCGGGGTCTCAGGAAGAGATTCTTGTCAACCCCAGGGATACTGGGCTCTTCACTGTCCTTCACAGGAAAATCTAGCTTCCTCAGCCTTTGTGCCACCACTAGAGATATAGACAGCAATGCTGTGACCGTCCCTGACCAGGGCACATCCCTCCCATGCTACCTGTGCTTCCCCACTGGGATGCCCTCAGCCGCCCTAGCACCATGACGGACCAGCAGCACAAGGGTCTGGGCAGCTGTGCAGAGAAAGGCAGCCCTCATCAGTGCCTTTTTGCTCCAGTCACCCCCTGGGACCTAACTAGGGGTTCCCTGACATCTTGGTCATGGGTAGCCTGTAAGGCCCTGAGCCAACAGAAGACCTAGCTTCTTTCAGACCTGATCACAGCAGTTAAGGACGATAACTCCCAAGAAAGAAATGGCTTGGCTTTTCTTCCCAGTGAGTACTTCGTCCCCCAAAAGATTTCCATGTCAACTGGACATGATGTCATTTCCTGGAAACAGCAGGCCCGTGGAGGCAGAGGAGGAACAGTCGAGGCTATTCCAGTACAGAAGACTGAAGGTTTGTGAGGAAAGAGGAAAGGCAAGTAGGGAAATGGGTAGAAAGGGGTAAGAAAGCAGTGAGCCAAAGGCTGGCAACCACTTCACCTGCTCACCAAGAACATGGGGTCGGGGACCTTCTCTGCAGCTGACATTCCAGAGAAAGGGCAGCCAGCATGCAGGGGATGGAAGCAGAGGCCCTGACCTACCAACCCCAGTGTGATGGACCCAAGGATTTCTGTGATGAACACAAGGGACAGAGGTTAATTAAAAACAAACAAACAAACAAACAAAAAAAAAAAAAAAAAAACTCTGGGCAGCTCAGCGGTGTCAGGAAGACACTTTGCTCTTCTGGGTGTTATGCAAGCAGTCTGGATGCTTGATGAGACTTGTCATGCTGTCTCTTGAATAAGGAGCAAACATACCCCCCCATCCCCCCACTTTGAGGCCCATATCACTATAGTCAAGCTTGGTATTTCCATGAACTGAAGGTCATCCTTTATTTTGACAAGGCCTCATTCAAAAATCACACATTAATCTGTTTATCCTTATGAAACAAAATCCATCTTCAGGCTCCCGTTCACCGGCAGCACATTAGATGCACAAGATCTAGTATTTTGCTAGTATTTTGCTCATGATGGGTAGACCCCAAACAATATGTAGAAGAGAACCACTGAAGTGAACTCCACTTTTCATTGACACAGGATGTGTGTGTTTGTCTTTCCCCTCTCCTAACAAGTTGAACAATGGTATAAACTGCTTAGATATAAAACAGTAGCAATAGTATGTTCAAGGCAACCAGGCAATTCCAAAAGAACAATTCCTCAAGCTGGAGCTAGTGCCATGCCTTTCATCCCAGCACTTGGGAGGCGGAGGCAGGACCTGTCTGGTCTACATAGAGTTCTAGGCCAGCCAGGGCTATGTAAGAGAACCTTGTCTCAAAAAGGAAAAAAAAAAGAAATTCCTGGGGCTGGGAACCGGTCTATGCCAGAGGCTCTTGCTTCCTAGGAGCAAGGAAGTTGCTAATTGTATTAATGAGAGACAGCCTGGTGACTTTGTTCCCATTAGAGGACATCCTTTAGAGATCACTCAGTCAACTCCATTTTATGAAATGCCAACAATATGCCCCAGACAATTGTACAACACAAGACAGAACAGACTGAGCCTGTACCACAGAGCTCCTGGAGAAGTCAAATAGAAAAGCTACTATGTAGAGAAAAAGGCCAGATTGAAACTGAAGAGCAATTGCTATGCAGGGTAACTCAAGGCAGGTCACTGCATCTACCAGAAAAAACAGTGACGCCTCGAACGGCCACCCAAAACAGATCCTGTACACTAGGTGACCCTTATTTGAGAAGGCAAGGGTCCATTGAAGGGAATAAACTAAGCAGTTTATTCCCTTCAGTAGTCACTGGCGGAAAGCTAAATGCACAAGGCGGGAGGTAGAGGGACAGGGACACTTTAGAGGTTCATTCCCAAGTGAGTATACCAGGTGGCATTTCCAGCCAAAGGTGACGCAGCTGTCCCAATGCACGTTTCCACAATCAAGACAATTGTCTCTCAAATATAAAACTCATTAAAGAGGAGTACAGCTTACAGGTGATGGAAAAAAAGCAACTGTGAAATTAAAATGTTTACAGCAGAGTAATTTAAGGCACTAAAATGCTTAGGAAAATATTCAAACCTTGGCCCTAGAATACACAAAAAGGGAAACTCACTAAGAGGTAACTGGCAGTTTAAAATGCAGGCACACGGTCTCTGATAGAAACGGTCTGTTCTGTTTCTCTAAGGTATGATAAACTTAAAAGCATTTACACAAACTTGGTTTTATGTAACTTATGTTTAATGTACAAAGTTTTGTAGGTATCTTTGGGCCTTCACAAAACAGAACAGGGCTTGTTACATCTAAAAGAGTTTGTAAGTAAAATCAACAATTCAGAAACCCAAATGGAAACATCAAACTGCATGGTATGATGCATTGAGTAAAACAGGCTGCAGTAAAACCTCATTAACTAAGTCCATTTGAGACAAGGAGTCAGATGGAAACATTTCAACTATCCAGAAGAATATTCAGAAAAGGCATGTCATGTCAGAGCTGCTCCTGGAAGGACTGGAGTATGACAGAGCAGAGAGGCTGGTCACAGGCACACCCACTGAGAAGGGGGTACTTCCTAAAATTAAGTGTCCAGCAGCCTTCCAGAAACAATTTGCCTCAGCAAACCCTTCAGCTTGACCTGCCACCTTAAATTTCTGGACAAATTAATGAAATTTTACTGCAAAAGTAGAAAAATGTTCTTGCATCACCCACACCACAAGAAAACACTGAGTAAGGAAACTTCAGTTTGGTACTGCACGGTGTTGCAACAGCGCACTGCTCACTAACATTGCTGGGAGCAAACCTAGGACCCGTGGTTCCTACACATTCTTGAAACACAACACTTCACAACGAAACAGCAGAACCACAACTTCGTAGGAGGCACTAAAGTCTCTTAGGAGTTTTTGAAGTCAGTCACAGTCCTGAGCCGTTGAAATTGTTTCCTTTCAACATCACACATTAGCAGCAAGATACACCCACTTCCGGCTTCTGCATGACATGATTACAGTCAAAACTGAGCAAATGAAAACCAGAACAGCCAGACGTTAGCCTGCCACATCTCCTTTCCCGTGAGACGCTCATGTGGACCATCGTCACCAGGAGGACGTGGTTCTCACTACAGTCAAATCTCAATAGTATCTCCAAGTAGACAGTTATAAGTAAGTTATTCTAAACCATTTACTCTTAACATTGGAAAGATGGAGAGCCACACAGAGACGTGTAAACAGTAAGAGAGTCACTCCACTCCGTGTCGGGGTCCAAATCCATCCAGGCTCTGTCTGGAATCTTAAGTGGCTGGGGCCTGATTCAAAAGGGAGGAAGCAGGAGCCTCAATGGTGCTGGAGAGAAACCCTGGGAGACACTCAAGACATGACTGTATGAGGGGGCGTCAGCAACTGGTCAGAAGAGCGGTACAATTATCCCAACAGAGAGAAGTAAAATCAGTCTGAGTTCATGTTTAGAAAGAATCAAGTCACTGAAATCTGATTTCTTCTATGTTGTTGCCATTTGCTTGGATGAGATCTTGAAGGTGTCCATTTTCTCCACCCAGGGTAAGAACACATTGACTAGAGATCTGTGATAAGAACTTAGTAAAGGCTTTTCCCTCCTGCTCCTCTTTATGCCAAGGCAAGAACTGGAAAATTCCAAACAAAATCATGTTAGTGGTCAGAAAGTTCATGAGTGAGCGCTTGAACATTTAGCATGCAACAGTGGCAAAGCGTGACCTGAGATCCTGCTGTGGCCCTGTACTCTGCTGCTGTAGTCAGTCAGGCTGACTGGAAACTGAAGTCTTAACTCGAGTCCAAACTAAACTGTACTTGCCAGAAACAATCAGCATCCTAGGCGTGGAACTGAGAACACGGCCTGCTCACTCAGCAGAGAACAGTAGGCCAAGACATTACTTTAGATAGGGTCTAAATGTAACCCAGGCTCCTCTACTCTTGAGATCCTCCTGCCTCAGTCTCCCAAGGGCTGGGATTACAACTGTGTGCTACCAAGCTCAGCAGGGGCCAAGAAATTCCTAACCCAAGCAAACAGGCCCAGCATGACAGGTACCTGCCACCCTGTCTCCCCTCATGACATCACACCCCCTACCCTCACTCACACTGGAGAGGAAAGTGCCCCAGCAACCAGAGCCTAGCACAAAATACAATGCATACCACTTATAGCTTCCTGTGCAAAATATTTGACATCCATGTCTTCGTCCTGACCTAGTTTCTGCAGCACCGGCTTCACTTCCCCCTGCAAGGCACTGGAATTCAAAAGTCACTGTGAAAAGGACAGCTGGGAGGGCAGAGTGCACCATGATACAGTCTGCAGTCAAACTTGGGGTTAGTCTAGGGTAAGTTTTAAATTTAAAATGAAAATGCTTTTAAATACTGACAAACATGACAAGCACATCAAATAATTTCTAAAACAGTTCTTGGAGAAATTCACTTTGGGGCAGTGATCTGTACACACCCAGAACCTAAGTGTAAAAATCAAACCAGACAGTCTCGAGACTGAGGCTAAATTCTTCTCTCTGAATAAGCCTGGATTCTAGGTAAAGAAAGGAATCCTGGACTTATTTTAGAGGTTACTCTCAACCATGAAGTTATACTTTCAGACCAACAGCGACACTGAAGTCTTACTTGGTATCTAGAATTGGTCCAATTTTCTGCAGTGACTTGGCCACATTGAAGCGGACATTTGCTACCTGGTCTCCTGCCATCTTCAACACGATGGGCAACATTTGCTTAGTGGTTATTTCCTTACCACAGGCTTCAGACAGTGCCTAGAAAAACAAATAAGATGGCACATTTAAAACTTTCTTAATATGCACCAAATCTAGTGAAACAAGCTAATATTTAAAGGGAAGGTAATTGACCAATAGAAAAATGTTTCCCACTTGAGCAGCTAAGGAACATGAAGTGGCTCAAAAGATGGAAGACCTCTGCCAAAACATACAGCAAACTTTTTAAAATACTGAAATTTTTAAATACTTCGATCATCTCGGATCAATGTGTGACTTGGTGGGGAGGGGCGATGCTTGCAGACAGAGTCAGGTCTGCCAGTTCTCACCACCAGCTGAGCTTTCCTGTCCACTGAATTTGTAAATCCACGTTTTCTCTAATTAATCAGATTGATCAGTAGAAGAAATGCACCTCTAACATAAGATAGCTTGTAGTGGAATTTTTTGCTAATTGACTGGATAACAAAGACAAGAAACCAATCACTGGGTGAGGAGGCAGGACTCCCATGTGGGGGTTGGGGGGAAGGAAGAGGGACCACAGGAGAAAGGAACTTGCTTTTGGACTTCAGGAGTGAGGCGTATACAATGCAGGAAGCCAGAGGCTGTTAGTCTGAGTGGCGGATCCACTACCGGAAGATTTCTAACATAGAAGAGTTTATAAAATTAGGATGCTAGGTTCTGCACCCAGGGATTTTATTATCTGTTGGTTCTAAACTAAGACTGTGCAGTGTTTTCCTTCACGTGGACATTCAACTGGGTTCCAGAGAAAGGTAACTGCAGCAGAGCATGGGTTTGCAAGATGCACATCCCAGTTAGCTGCAGAAATTTGGGAGTATGGGCAGATTTGGCAGCAGCCAACAATGGGGTGGAGAGAGCGACTGCTGAGCTCTGGAGAGGCAGAGCCAGCCTTGGTGAGACAGGCTTAGGTTAACGGGAAAAATGCAGTCTTGGCCTATGTGGCAGGCGAGAACAGACTGAGCGCTCAGCCAGTGATAGCCAGTGACAGCCAGTGATAGCCAGTGCATAGCCAGTGATAGCCAGTGATAGCATGTGCTGCTTTTAATATTTCACACTACAATAGCTGTTCACTCAGAAACTCAGAATGTGAGTAACCAAAAAAATCAAAACCAAAAAACCAAAAACTGTCCGAGCTTAGCAGAAACACCATGTCATACTTACATTAATGCAGAATAAAGTGGTCATTCTGTGCAAGTAGTTAGGGTCGTTTGCCATTACCAACACTTTAGGGACGATGGTATTCTGGGCCCACTCTGTACCAAACTTCTGGACTAACTTCATGAGGTTGTTGGTAGCTGCTTCCCGAATGGCATAGACTGCAGGAGAGTCCAAGAGAACATCTTCAGGCTGCTTGCTTTACACACAACCTACTTCACCCACAGCACACAGACCCAGAATAAACTCCGTGCAGACCTAACCTAACTTAGATGATAATCACAATGAGTCACAGGCATCACAGTTCTAAAATGTCCGTGTCCACCACGGACAAGGATGTGAGGGACTTGGTCTAGGTGTCATCAATTAAAAACCCAGCCGCTCACTAGGTACCGCGTGCTACAGAAGGAGACAGCAGGTACCTTTCCCTCAAAGACCAAATACTCCATCAGAGAATAAAAACTAGGTGCTCGGAGACTCACACAGCAGAGAACCAATCATCACATACAGCACTAGACAGAAAAGGCTGAGTGGAAAGAAGGGACTCTGGGAGAAGGGCATGGCCTTCGGTGACTGGAGAGGATGTGTGGCACCTGAAGAGGGATGGGACCTCGGGGTGCAGCAAGGAGAGTGAGGGCACAAGAGAAAGAGTCAAACCTGTGAGACTGCAGGGACAGCCCTGACCACAGAGCATCTAACACAACAAACAGGCTTCAAAAGCATCAAAAGACGATGTTAGCAAGATTATTCAAGTGATATCACAGAGCAGCTGAGAGGGATACTGAGAGGGATACACAGGTCACCACTGTCACCTACACAGCTGCAAATCAACGCCGTTCCGCACTGAAAATGCTTGTGTTCATTAAGACAAGCTGATAAATGCGCCTGCACCGGCACGTACTAATCCCATTCAAAATGACGTATCAGTGACATCATAAAACTAAACCATCAAGTCTCAGTTATTAGGCTCTCAAAATTAGTTGTTCTATGCAGCCCTGAACACAGAAAGGCCTGGTGCCCCTTCACTCTGGACTCAGTAAGGCTCAATACTTGGACTTAGATAACAAATCAAGGGGAACAGGTTACTGGTTCCTCCTTCTCTCACCTGACAAGCCCCAATCCTTGGCAATCCATGCAAGCTTCCTGTGAGATAGGAGATAGCCAACTTTTCCCAACTCAAATCCTGCTATAAAGACACTAAGAACAGGGGGAAACACAGAGACCAAAGACAAGGAGCTATAGTCACATGGCCAATACTCAGACTTCAGTCTACAGAGAGACACGCCAAGATGCCCAGAAGTGTCCCCAGGACAAGCTCAAGTGCCTTTACCCCCCCACACACATGGGCTCTTTCTTGTCACACATATAATCTGTGCTCCAGACCGCTCCTCCATTCTTCCTTTAAAGGGAAGCTAATGGAGCTGGGCAGATGGCTCAGTGGTTAGGAGCACTGGCTGCTCTTCTAGAGGACCTGGGTTCAATCCCCAGCAACCACATGGTTGCTCAGAACCATCTATAATGGGATCTGATGCCCTCTTCTGTCCTATAAACATATAGGAAGACAGACCACTCACACACACGCACACGCGCGCACGCACACACACACACACACACACAAACAAAGGGGAGCTAATGGCAGCACCTGTTTTTCTCCTGACTACAGGTTTTTAATGATTATTCTTCTGCCAAAGTAACCAGAGGCCGAGCTTGACCAAGCCCTCCCTCTACTGCACTGAACTCTACTTGGCCAGATGCCTACTATGCTCCTGGCTCCTCTCACTTCTGTTTTAGAGGAACGCAAGCCTCTCCTGAGTTTCCACTCCTTGTTTTGTCTGTGTGTCTGTCTTTCCCTTCAAGGTTAGACTGATCTGAAAGGTTTCTTTACATATCTAATTCTACCAATTCTTACTAACTTTGACTGGATATTTATCTTTGTCCTATAAAAGATAAATTAAGGAGGTACCCACCACTTAGCCCTGCCTTCTTGTCACACTGCCCACGGAGAGAAACACAGTATTCATGCCCCACCCCCATCTTCTCCAGACTGCTCACACTGGTCTTACAAAAGTTTTATGCCAGAGAGAGGTGAGGGGGATGTTTCCCAAGAAACCTGCTCACTGCTCACTGTGTACCACTTACAGTGCAAAAACATCATTCTTCTTCAAATTATAAAAATCTAACCTAAATTACAAAAGCCGCAGGGAAAGCCATGGTGAGGGCACGTCCTCAGCTCGCCCACCGACTGCATCAGGGATCCTGCAGTCACTGCTGCAGGACACAAACTCCACCCTACTGACTCCCGAGTTGGAAGGTACAAATGACTATACTTAGGTCACGTATAGCCATCACCTACACAGAACAGGTGTCATTTCTCAACTTGTGATATATTGGAACCTTAAAGGTCCTTCAAAATTTGAAGGACAAAAAAGGTCTGTCTTAATCCTTAATTGTTTTCAAAGGAAGTAATAGGTTTCTGGGAATGCCACTGACAAGAATACTTATGCAAAGTAAACTTTGTTAAATAAAATAAAATAAAATAATTTCTTGGACTGGGAGATGCCTCAGTGGTTAAGAAAATACATGCTGCTCTTCCGAAAGACTGGATTTCAGTTCCCAGTACCTAAGCCAGAGGACTCAATTCCAGCACCTAATCAGAACTGGAAGCCTTCTCTGGCCTCCAAGAGTACCCACAAGCACAAGTGAAAACTCACATACAGACACACAGACACACAAACGTACACATAATTTAAAATGGAAAAATTATAGATGCTTTCCTATGATTTATACCAAGTTTCTTTTATTTTTTTTATAAACGATTATTAAAAACAACTCTTGAAGAAAAAAAAGGAATAAAGAAGTCTTTACACTGTCATTTAAAAGCACAGATGTATCCATACAGATGCCCCAAGACACTGTCATATACAGCTTCACAACCTTCCCTTTACACTCTTAGACATACGGTGCAGATGTGCTTTTAACAAAACCACCTACAAGTGTAAGCAGACACAGATATTCTTTCCCAGCTGCCTAGTCACAAGTACCCAAAGATAAATGCAAGCAATACACAAAGTATACACAGCACACTGGGACCACAACAGGACGTATATCACACCCACTAAAACATGGACCCAAAACTCATGGGACATATCACATGAGAACTGAAGGCACTCCCTGGGACTGAAGCTGCAAAGGCTAGGACCTGGCACAGAGGGCCCCTTCCGCCACTGGCTGCCAGGGAGACAAAGATATATGCACACACTCCCTGAGGTATCACCAGAAAGGCACCTGCTCACTCCTGTCCAATCTCAACTGGCCTGAACTCACATTCTCCAGCACAGCAGCAGCAGGCCAAGAGTGAACAGTGAGCTTTCTCTCCTAACACAATCCTAGCTCTGCCCCAGGGGACAGCACATATCACCAACTCTTACTGTACCTTTGCATTTCATCTGAGAAAGCCCAAGTAGCCAATTCTCTCCACCCAGGCCTTTCCAATCTGTCAGCCTGGTCTACAGTTACTGAGAACACCAACTGCAGCAGGTCAGCTGCAGGCCCTGGCTCTGGAGGAAATGTACATCTAAGAGTCTGAAGCTGTCTGAGGCAGAAGAGGACAGAGTTACTCAGCACAGAAAATACATTTAAAACAGAAAATAACCAGAAGTACAAATGTCAGCTCTGTAGTCAAGTTGAGCCTGCCTTTACTCCCAATGTGCAGGAGACAGGCAGAAGGCCAACTAGAGCTACACAGTGAGACCCTGTCCCAAATTAAATAAGTAAAATATTTATGTAGCCAAGGAAAGCCAATGGAACTTCACCAACGTTTCTTCAGCATTACATTGTCAAAGCCAAGTGTGTGTCACACAGGATTCCTCTGTAAACAGCCATGCACGAACATCACAAACACACAGAAGCCTGGGCTTCCCATAATTTCTGTTTTTAACTTGTCTACTCACCATGATCCACAAGCCAGGCCATACACAAAGAATTCAGCTTTTCATCAAAAAACTCCACACCCTATGGATATAGAAGATTCCATTAGTAAATATTTCCAAAGTTAGGAAAAGACGTTCTATTTACATTTACTTTGCACAATAGTTACCTAAAAGCTAAAGGCACACTTGCACACAAGCTGAACCACAAAAGAGCCATAAGAACAGTAGCACAGAATTACAATCTATGACACCATCTAGAAAGAAAATCCAAGAGAGAGGGAGGGACGCGGGCCTAAAACGAGACTGAGCCATGCATGCACAGGGCTGAGCAGAGCAGGCACAGCACAGGGGGAAGTCTGCAGAGCAAATCCAGACACCGTGGGAAAGTGAATTACCCAGAAAAGCAGCTGAGGGGTTTGGTAATTCTCATCTCTCCTTTTTAGTTAACAAGTCCTTGAGCACGAGGCAAGTGACACCAAGAGATCACCAAGAGAAGACAGTGTTTCTAGAGCTTGACAGAAGGCAGTAGAAAGAAAAAGCAGGCACCAGTGGGCAGAGCAAGAGGTCCAAGTGATAGTTGGAGCCCAGCTCTCCAGCCTGCGAGTCAGCCCACACAGGCTGGGACAAACCCTAAGACCTCTTGCCATAGGACACACACACCACATAGGGAAGCCCTGGATGCACTCTTTCCTGGTGCCTTCCTTCGGAGGTCATTATGCGCATTCTTCTGGTTCAAGCCTGAGACATTCCTGACCAGTGACGATGTATTTAAATAATGACCGATACCCAGGGTTCTGTACTTTATACAGGACAGCTTCACCGTGCCATGACCACTCCTGGCAGGCCCTTCACCCACAGCATCTCCTCTCAGACTCCTAGTTTATTCCAGGTTGAGGATTTTCCTGTGATCTCCTTCAGACAGTCTGTTGGTTTAACTCTATTAACTCAGACCTATGAGCCTGGTTAGATTGTACTGAGAAAATTTTATAAATTGATCAAAAGTTTACACAAAGAAAAATCAAGAATACATATGCTGAGGCAAGAGAGATGGCTCAGCCATTAAGAACATTTGAGGCTCTTATAGACAGCCTGGTTTTGGTTCCCAGCACCTACGTGGCAGCTCACAACTGTCTGTAACTCCAATTCTAGAGGATTCTTCTGACCTCCACAAGTACCAGGCATTTATATGCTTCACATACATATACAAGAAAAACATTCACACACACACAAACACACACATACACACACAAGTGAATCTTAAAAAGAAAGTAAATCTCAAGAAAGACACAGTGTCCGTGATTGACAGATGCCGCCCCAGCCAGTGTCCATGACTGAGGGATGTCACCCGGCCAGAAAGGTATAAACCAGCCAAGAGGCCGTTTGTCTTCTTTCCACACTGTTCTGTATACTGCTGGCAGCCCTGGAGACTTTCCAGGTCTGGTGGGGTAAGGTTCAAAGACATGGTAAATACAATCCACCTCCTTCCACACAGCTGCTTCCCAGCCTAGCAAACCCATCATTAGCCACTGCTGCTTTCCACTCCAGACAGTGACACAGATGACTGAGAAACAGACAACGACTCCCTCCATTTGGAATGGATGGTGGAGAAGCATGATAAAATGACGTCACTTGACACATGGATAAATTAATATCTTTGCCCTTCATTTTGAGAAACAGAGCATTTCAGATTTGATAAAACAATGCCATGACCGTCTACAAGTCGCAAGCTCGTAAGCCACCAAAATGAGTAATATGGTAGAGTGGTTGGGAAAATAGGAGCCCATGTGCTGTGAACTGAAGACTGGAAGTGCGCCTTTGGGCGGGGCAGGGTGCTGGGGGTGGGAGCAAAGTACAGGCATGTCAGCAGCAAACTGATACATGAGCACTCTGAAACTACTCAGGCGTCCTTCATCCGACTAGTAGGAAATGCCAAGTGTCTAATAAATAACAAGCACTAGGAAGCCACGGGAGCCCACACCACACAGCTGTCTCAGAGCTACCACAGGGGCGAGGCTGTCAAGCCTGCCACTGTCTTCACCTACTGAGAAAAGGGAAACGAGTGGCAGTAAAGTCAGCTTTGAGATTTGAATTAGTCGTATCTATTAGAATAAAACTAATAATGCAACCTAAAGACTAACAGACAGTGTGGTAACTTTATCCAGAATACGACATCATAAGCCCTGCGTAGTAGGTCCTCAACCTGTCATGAGGATGCAAACAAAATGCTCCTTCATTCAGTTTCCTTAAGATAGAATCAAACAAAACGTCAAACTGACTTATCCTGAAACTGTATTTTTCCTTCCATACACCAGTCCTTCAATTGTATAGGTTTTAAATAATACAGCATTCCTGTTACATAAATATACGCCTTTATCATGAGGAGGCAGCAAGGTAAATGTGTTTCTGGACCACCTTCCTGTTAGCCCATAATGCACCACTGAAAATAAAAACTATCCGATGAGCCCAGCGATGGCACACACCTTTAATCCCAGAATGTGAGAGGCAGGAGTAGGCAGATCTGATCTATAGAGAGAGCACCAGGACTACACAGAGAAACCCTTGAGAAAGCAAATAAACAAAAAAAAACAAAAACAAGCAAAAAAAATCCTAGACCACAGAATTTACTTCAGTGCATCTGATCAAGCCAGAGCAGCCTGAGTACCTCCCACTCACCATGTAAGTCTCCACGGTCAGACAGCCCCTACTACTCACAAACACGAGGACTCACCAGCTGGCCGGCCAGCAGCGGCATGTACTCAATGATAGCCAGGCGGACCCTCCACTTGGCATCTTCAGCCAGCTCCACTATGGCAGGAAGGAGAGACTGAGAGAGCTGACGAATTCCAATCACTTCATTTACACAATCCAAATTGGAGATGATATTTAAACGAACTTCTGGACACTATAAACACACAAGCCCCAAAGAGTACATGTGAAAATTATCTCCTTTGCCCAGTCATCTCCTGGCATCAGAAAATACAAAGAGCTAAGCAGAATTTCAAATTAAAAAGTGTTCAGCTGGGTAGTGACGCACACCTTTAATCCCAGCACTTGGGAGGCAGAGGCAGGCAGATCTCTTGAGTTCGAGGCCAGCCTGGTGTACAAAGTAAGTTCCAAAACAGTCAGAGCTACACAGATAGACCCTGTCTTGAAAAAAACCAAAAAACAAAAGAGAAAGTAAGTAAGTATGGCTCAGATTTTAAAAGGTGGGGTTAAGCTGTGTGGCTCAGTGGTAAGGGCCTTTGTCCAGCCTGCACAAAGCCCTGGACTCAATAACTAGAACTGACCAGAAGAACTTCAGGCAGAAGGAAATTCTTACGGCTAAGCACACAGATAATCCAAGATACAATGTCACTGATCTTAACCACAATGTCAATAAAAAGCCTTTGAGATTTCATTACTTTGTACACTAATTTAAAAATCAATTAACAAACTGACAGGCAAGATGGCTCAGTAGAAAGAGGACCTTGTCCCACAGACCTGCAACCTGGACTCCATCCCCAGAACTCATACAAAGGTGGATGGAGAGAACGGACTCCACAGAGATAGCCTCTGAGCTCTTTATGCACACACAAGTGCACACTCACTCACACAATAATAAAGCTTTTTAGACTTTTAATTAATAAATTAGCACAAAGTCTATGAGATGGTGAGGAGCCCAGGCCCTGGAATTCAGTTCTCTGCACTCACGCCGGGAGCCCTCAGACCTCTCACCCAGGGCTTCCTCCACACCTTATCACTGCCGGGAGCCCTCAGACCTCTCACCCAGTGCCTCCTCCACACCTTACCACTGCCGGGAGCCCTCAGACCTCTCGCCCAGGGCTTCCTCCACACCTTACCACTGCTGGGAGCCCTCAGACCTCTCGCCCAGGGCTTCCTCCACACCTTACCACTGCTGGGAGCCCTCAGACCTCTCGCCCAGGGCTTCCTCCACACCTGGGAGGAATCAAGCTCTAAGCTGGCTGTGGCAATTACAGTTAATGCCACATCCAAAGCACTCAGCTCATGCCTGACACTAATGTTTACATTTTTCATCCGCATGTGTGTACTATCTATGTAAAGTGTACGTGTGCCCATGTGTGTGGGTGCCCATGAAGGCCATCAAGGGAGTCGGATTCTTGGGAGCTGGAGTTACAAACAGCTGTGTGCCACTCAACATGGCCACCAGAACTGGAGCTCTGGTCCTCTAAAGCAACAAGCCTCTTAATTGCTGAGCCAGACCTCCAGCCACTCCATGTTAACATCTGAAGCTACATTTAAAACTCAAATAAAAAGGCAATGTTTAAGCAAATATATATATATAACTATAAGGAGCCAGTAACTATAATATAAACCATTTAACAGGTATTTCATGGATGGTTTTAAGACTTAGTTATTTCACGACTGTTTTACATGTTTATGCACTGTGTGTGTGTACCTGGTGCCTACAGTGGTCAGAAGATCCCCTGGAACTAGAGTCAAAGACAGCTGTGAGCTGCCATGTGGGTGCTGGGAACCAAACCAAAGTCCTCTGAAATACCTAGTACTGTTAACTACGCCGGTTTCTCTCTAGCCCATCTTGTTTGGTTGGTTGGCTGGTTTTGGTTTTAGAAACAGGTTTCTCTGGGTAACCCTGACTCTCCTGGAGATCCACCTGCCTCTGCCTCCAGAGTTCTGGGATTAAAGACCCATCACACCCAGTTGAGTTTGCTTTTAACTAGTCCTTGTGCCCATTTTTGGGGAAACCTGTAACCCTACACCCAAACAGAAGGATTGTCAAATACCTAAACTACAATCCCCCACCTCCTGCCCCATCTTTATACTTTGAGTCCTATTTTAGTAAAATCACCAAAACAAAGATTTACAATCCCTTTAGTCCCAGCATTTAGGAGGCAGAGAGAGGCAGGTAGATCTCTAAGTTCAAGGCCAGCCTGGTCTATAGAGCGGCAAGTTCTAGGACAGCCAGGGCTGCACAAAGAAACCCTGTCTCAAAAAACCCAAAAGAAGAAAGAAAAAAGAAACAAAATCATATCAAATCAAAAGGATTCACCAAGGCAAAAGGATTCATCGCCAGACTCACCTCATCCTTTAACTGAGCTAAAAACAGAGGCAGAAGATGTTCAATGGTATTCTCTTTGCCCAAAACTGTAGATAATCCCATAATTACAGAAGCCAGAGCTGACTTGACATGCTGGTTGGTATCAGACACTAATTCCTAAAACAGAATAAAAATTAAAAACAAAAGCCTCCACAGCACCTCCCGACGAGCCCACAGCACCTCCCAACGAGCCCACAGCACCTCCTGAGAACCCCACAGCACCTCCTGAGAACCCCACAGCACCTCCCGAGGAGCCCACAGCAACACTAGTCAGCAGAGCGGCTGACCCAGCCGTCTGCAGTAACAGACTGCGCCCACAAGCTCTACAAGTATAACAGGTACAAATCAACTATAAATATTTTCACAAATGTTATGTATCTGATTCATTTATGCCTCTTCCTTCTTTAAATGCTAAGAGCTTCATAGGTAGGGTAAGCAAAATAAAATGAAGTCACATTCACCTTTATATAGGGCAGGATTTGGCTCATAATTACAGTCTCTCTACCTTCGGGGGGCAGGTTCTCACAAAGTTCTAAAACAGAAACAGAAAATGCAATGCTGTCAAGGAGCCAAAGACAATTAACCAGATCTTCCAACAGTCCAAGCTAAATCAGAAGTCTAAGCAAATCAACTGTGGAGGGGCAATAAGCCTGGTCCTCGCAGCACAGCCTGAAGGCTCTTTTGATCTAAACTATGGGATAGGAGCTTTCTATGACGGTGCCACCTTCCACATGCTGGTGTCATCTGTCTGCAGCATCTTATATAGTAAAACTATGGCAAACTTCCTAACATGACACATGCATCAGAGTGGGTGGTAATGTTGCTGCACTCATTTTTCTCTGGTTTATACATCTTGGGTCCTATTTTAGCAAAACACCAAACCAAACTATAGCGAACAAAGTCAGAAGACTCCTTAGCCAGTCTCACCTCTTACTTTGTGGGCAGCGGCCGCTCGGACTTCAGCTTCGCAGTCTCTGAGGAGGCTCTGGAAGGCGGGGATGAGGTCACTGAGTGCAATTTTAGGGCCCACCGCTTTCTGGAGCTGAAAAACAATTTATGCAGGTTTAATGTATACTAACAAAATAGTAAAGCCAAGAAATAGTACAATCATCAAAAGTATATTGTAACCAAAATGGAAAGATTAAACAGGCTCTCTTATTTTTTTTTAATTCAAAACCATTCAACAGAATTTGCAAGCTCTGTTCGATAGAAAAATCTGTGGGGCAAATGCCTTTGAGGTTCTGAATATTTGAAATGCCAATGCATTTTACCTCTGAAAACTTGTCAGCCACCATATAGCGAACCCGCCAAGATTTATCTTCTGCTGCTTGCCGAAGTGTAGGCATTACCAAGGCTTCGAGGTCATCCTGGGACAGTAACTGGGCAATGCTGACACAAGCTTCCACAGCTAGCAGGCGCACAGAATCCTAGAGAACAACACACTGTTTGGTCAGTTTGCTGAAACAGGGCACACTGAGTGCGGTGTGAGACTGCTGCCACAGGTCTACTTCTGAAAGCAGGGGAGAGACAAACCACTGTGCTGGCTTATCTGTCAACGTGACATAAGCTACAGTCATCCGTGTGGAGGGACCTCAGCTGACAAGATGCCTCCACACCGTCAGGCTGTACACAAGCCTGTGGAGCATCTTCTTAATAAGAAAGCAGGATAAGTAAGCCACCACGAGGGAAGCGAGCCCATGGGGAGGGGGAGCCAGCACCCCTCCATGGCCTCTATATATTCCAGTTCCTCCCAGGCTCACGCCCTATCTGAGCTCCTGTTCCAGCTTCCTTCAATGATGACCCGCCATGCGGAAGTGTAACCCATTCCTCCCCAGCTTGCTTTTTGGTCATGGTTGTTTCATGGCAGCAACAGCAACTCTAATTAAGACAACCACCATATATGATGGCATGGCTTTATGTCTTCAAATGGCTGCATAACTTCTTCCTTTGCCTAGGCTGGCATGTGAAAACCACAAATGGCATTTTGTTTAAATTATCTTGACAACAGCACCAAGTTTTTATTAAGTAAGATAAAAAAGATGTTCTAAATGTTATTTATTGCATGTAAACAATGCGTGTGGGAGGGTCAGAAGGCAACAGCAGATTTCCCCTACACATTTCCATGGCTTCTGAGCATTGAAATCAGGCAAACACTTTACCCACATCTGATATAAAGACTAATTATTTTTTCAAAAAAATATGCTATATTCAAAGCCTAAGTTGAAAAATTATCCTGGCATAAGTACTTAATAACACATTTGAAGAGAGATCACCTTCAAAGCTCTTTCCAACTCATCACTGACCACAGACAGCAGCAGCCTGAGATGGAGCAGGGACAACACAGACAGAGGGAGAGGGTGACAGCCGAATAACAAAGTCAGGCTCACGTGCTAAAAATCCAACTGAGATAACCAAGCCCAGGAAACCCGGCAGTGGGGATTTGGAAAGGCAGAGAGCTAACTGCTTCTCTGTATATAAAGCTGCTAAATGCCTAGCAGGACACCTGAATGTCTTTTGAGTGAAAACACAGAATTAAAGCTCAGTTAGACATTAGGAGTTCTGACTTCAGACTTAGGAAAATCCGAAAATTAGACATATAATCCTATGAGCACCAAAGGAAAAAAATGGGACAAGAAATTACTGTCTATGTACTACGACAGAACACACACAACAGAGCGCCCTCAGTACTAGTTCCTACCGATGTCACCTAACTGGCCTTCTCTTTCTAGTCTTATCCCTCTACAAGTTTGTTTCCACACATAAGCCAGAATGAACTTTCAAAAATGTAAATTGCACGCCACACCTCTTCTCCAGATCTACGCAGAGCCTCGCTGAATCTAGAGTAGAAAATCCAAAACTGCAGCGTCTTCCCTGGCTCACGATCTGCTCCCGCCCTGCCTTCTCCATTCCTGTCTTTACTGGACGCCTTCGACCACCATGTTGCAATGCTGGTCTTTCTAGCTCATGTCCTCTCTTTACCAACACTGTCTCTTGCCTGCCTGTTGCTTCCTCAGTTCTATGCTGACCAGCAGCCCGTGTTCTATATGTTATACTTATTCTTATAACATTTATGCCTGATTTTTATCATGTTTGTTTTTCTCCATTAAAATATAAGTTCCATGAAAGCAGAGTCCCTGTCTGCCTTTAACACAGCACTCAACACTAGAATCGTACCTTACATATACAGGTACTCTATGTAGGTACTTAATAAATGCTTCTGTCCATGAGCAAGCCATGAGCAGGTCTTCTAGTAGTCAGAGGAAGCACAGTATAGTTATATTTCTTAACAAAGCATTGAATATTTTTTGAGCACCAAATGCTCACAGCCAGCTCCCACTTAGGACATGGGTGAGTTTCATGCCCATAGGTTCCCATACTCTGACTGCTTTTGGACCACGGGAGCAGAGTTTGTTTTAAAGGAACTATATGACCCTCAAAGGCTAAAATATTTCCTGGCTGGCCTTCATCAAAAAAAAAAAAAAAACAAAAAACTGCAAACAGGAAGTATAGAAGACAAAAGAAAATGTCAAATTATGTCATAGGAAATATAACCAGCTAAATTCCAAATAAGGATTCTAAGACTGTCTATTCCAACACAAAGAAACCACCATGTACTTGTGGAATCTCCATGTTCAGCAACATTATAGCCAATGGTCAAATTATAAAACTTAGAAACTTGAGGCTGAAGCCTATGTACTCAACTAGCTAAAAATAGCCTTGAACAAGCCTCAAAAACTAGCTGGGCTTCCATCTCCTTGAGTATCTGTGTCATGGGCTGATAGGAGAACCTAGTTCCATAACGCATGTAGCCACTGAAAACAGGCTGCAGGATACAGTCAAGGCATTTCTGTGGTTCCCCCACATCTATGTATTCCAACAGTGGATCACAGATATTTGGGAAATATTTTCTAATCTGTACTAAACATATACAAACATTTTCTTGTCACTATTCCCCAGAAAAAGTAGTAAAACTATTTACAGTTCAATTACACTATAGTTTTGTTTTATTTTTATCTACTCTATTTTTGTGAGAATATGGGGACATGCATACCACAGCACATCTGTGGAGGTCAGAAGGCAACTTTGGGATTTGGTTTTTGCCTTCTACCTTACTGAATCAGGGTTTCTCTTATTTCTGCTGCTGCTGCTGTCCTGTGTACCCCAAGCTAGATGGTCCGTGAGTCTCAGGGTGAGTCTCCTACCTCTGCCCCTCACCTCACTGTAGGAACTCTGGATTACAGATGAGTACCACTACATGGTACGTCTACATGGGTTCTGGGTTCAGACAGAGGTCCTCAGGCAGCTAGCACCTTTAAAGGTTACAGCCTTCTCTCCAACTCTGGTTTACACTGAATAGGGGATTGCAAGTTATGTAAAGGTGACTTGGAGTAAGTACACAGGAGAATGTGTACAACAGAGGCAAATGCCATGCCATTTTACACATGGGGACGCAACTCTAAGGTAAGTACCCCTCCATGATCCTAGAGCCATCCCTGTCCTCTGTACTGAGAAACAACTGGATTAAGTAATTTAGGAGTTCCCAACTTTTATCTTTTCTACATCAAGGAAACCCAGACCCGGATTTAAGATCGCTATTGTGTGTAGTACAACCATACTCTAGTGAGAAAGTTAACAAAGTCGGAATTCCATATGTAATACAGCCCACAATTCTGCAAGACACCGGTCCCTGACGCAGCCCTGGCTTCCTAGTTATGGAATTCAACTCACCTCCAACTCTTCCTTTTAACAGCTACTAACTGTTAGAAAAGTGGGACCTGGCTAAGAAAGAAGCACCAGGTCAGAAACAAGTATCCTTGGGGTTTTTTGTTTTTGTTTTTTTTGTTTTTCAAGATAGGGTTTCTTTGTATAGCCCTGGCTGTCCTGCAACTCACTCTGCAGACCAGGCTGGCCTCGAATTCAGAAATCCACCTGCCTCTGCCTCCCAAGTGCTGGAATTAAAGGTGTGCGCCACCATTGCCCAGCTCAGAAACAAGTATTAATACTGCAAAACGACCGTACATTAGCGTCAAAGGTCTCCAGTTACCTGCTCATCTGAAGCCAAATTCGTGAACAAGGGAACAATCTCAGTTTTCACACTGTCTAATTCCAAGACTTTTGCAAATTCACCCAATTTGGAAGCAGCAGCACGTCGCACCATTGGTGTATCATCTGAGCACAGGGAACGGAAGTGCCTGCAAGCATAAAATAAGGTACTTCCTGTCAAACACGTGGGTAAGCACGCACCAAGTGCCAACAGAAAGCCTTTTAGAGTCTTGCTTTTATAAACATCAATGACGAGGTTTCTACTCATAGCAGTAAAGAAAGGACTGGAAAAACAGCTTAGTCAGGAAAGTGCCTGCCTCCCGGGCTTGAAGCCCCCTCATCGTCCCCAGGACCTACTTACACAGCTGAGCACAGTGGCAGTGCCTATAACTCCAGAGGGGGCAAGACGGAGGCAGAGATAGGCAGATCCCTGAGAGCATACAGGCCAGGAAAGGCTAGCCTATGAAGTGAAGTTCAAGGCTAATGAGAAAACCTGTCTCACAAAAAAGAAGGTACCTGAGGATCAATACCAGAGACTGCCCCATGAAATACACACGAACGCCCTCACGCATGCACTCACGCACACAGGCACACACGCACATGCATATGAACAAAATAAGCCATCAGTATATGCAACTACATAGAAAAGTATCACCAACCCCATTAGCCTCATATGAAGCATTGTTGGAAACTGAGCACTGGATAAACCCTGCTCTGTGAGTCCCCAATAATCCCAAACACTAAAAACTACTGTCTTACTGTCGGATTTCTGCCTTGACAGCATTTGAAGCTCTGGGATAGCAAACGCTGAACAAACCACATGCAGATGTGCGAGATGTGAACCAATCCCCACTTGCCAAGCGCTTCACCAGAGGCACAAAGTGAGCTTCCAGGGCGACTGGAGTGTGCTCCTGGGAGATCTGCCTCAGGGACTCCACGGCCTTGTCTCGAACAACGGTCTCCTCCACCGTAGCCAAACTTTCCAAAGGAGGCTGCAGAGATCAAAAAGGAAAACCAGAGATGACAACTTATTAAATTAGGTTAGACACATTGCCACCTTTTATGTGACTGAAGGGAAACGGTACATGTAACCAGAATGCTCACTGCATCACACCAAATGGTTACTTTCAGTTCACACAGTGATAACATATGGTGTGGCCAACCTGAAGACACGACTTCTGTAGAAAAGCCAAGATCAAGTGTCCCAGATGGCAATTCCCAGATGGTGTCTACAAATGACACGTGGAAGAGACTTGACACAGAATCACTATTATTTGGAGCTGGTGTTTAATTGACATGCAGCCACATTGAGATAGGAGTGTGCTATTTTTTAGGAACAAGTCCCACGGCCAACCGTGGGTGCCACAGCTGCATGACCATTCTTGTCAGGCTATGGAGTCCGTGCCCTTTCCTACACCATCCTGCTATTCTTGGAGGTGCAAGCAATCTTTTCCAGGAGAGCTCAAGAGCACTGATTTACCCAACCAATAAAAAGCTGACTACACTACCATTATTTTATATTCAGAATCTTTGCATGAGCCAAAGAACAGGAGTTTCAGACAGAACAATCAAAAACAAATGCAGAGATGGGGGTGGATCTGCAGCTCCAGAGACATAAGAGACAGGATGAAGGTCTGGCCGTCAGTCAGCAACCTCATGTGACTCAGCTGGTAGACAGTGGAGACAGGCTTCTTCTCTGAACCTTTAGCTGCCCTTGTATTTGATCCCTGGTGACCCTGCATAAACTAAAGCTGTGAGATTAGAACAAACTCCATGGCAGACTGACCAAGGAAGAAAGACAGGATTCAAAGACAAGAAGCATGCCACCCAATATGATTCAAAAGAGTAGAAAGCTTTGTTCTTTCCTAGAGGGTGGGGGTCAAAGGTCCACTGAAAAGACACACCTTCTTACTAGTCAGTCTTTCCTGATCTATCCCCCTGCCTACTATGACGTATTCAAGCACTACCACAGGAGATGGCCAAACGCATGAGCTGCCCCTTCACGAGTACTGTGTCTATTTTCCAGTGCCCTTTTCTGAGCCCTGGTGACTGCTTCTGCTCACTAGCCCCCAGTGTTTATACTCTAGCAGCTTTGAATCCAAAAAGCTTCCCAGCTGCAAGCCTCTGAAACTCATTCACCCCATGGATGAATACTGCTGTGCTGAGCACTGAGGATCCAGAGGAATGAGCACACAGGATGATGCCTTGCTTAGTCCAAAGGAGCCTACATTCTAATGGGGGAGACGTCAAAAGAGAATAAGGGTGATGGGCAAGGGGCGGCTGTGACAGGCAAGGCCTCTCTGACACAAAATGGAGCTGTCTGACTTCTGCAGACTCCACTATGGAAAACTCTAAATAGCATGTCTCTGGAGATAACGCCTACAGGCAACATCTGAAGGCAACAATGAGCTGGGCTTGTAAGGAACAGAAAGACCAATGTGCACAGAATGAAGTTATCAAGAGGAGCATGTGTGTATAGAATGAGTTTTTCATGGCTGTGAACCCAAATAGCTAACAGAAACAAAAGATTTATTCTGGTTCAGTTTCAAGGGTTCATTTCATAGTTGCCTGGCCCCATGAGCCTCAGCACAACAACATGGCAGTAATAATGAGTGGCAGAAGAGGTCCTCTGCCTTACTGTAAGGAAACAAAAGAGTCTAAGAACAGAAACCCCACAACAATGCTACTAGCTGGGGACAAGTGGGGACAAATGCATGAATGCATTTGTAAGACTGATTAGGGACAGATGCAAAGTCTACAAGATGTGAAAGAGGAAGAGGATTTAAGGAGGCCTTCTCCTGCTGGGCTGTAGCTCAGTGAAGGAACACTCACCTAGCATGCAAAGGCCCTGGCTTTAACTACTAAAATCAAAACTATCTTCTAGGTTGGCCTTGTATAGCTAGGTAGTGATATGACTCAAAAAGAGGCTGTTTGAGGGGAAAATAACAACCCATATATAAATCTGTTGATTTCTACAAGTCTCCGCTTACCTATTATCCATCTATGCCTGCAGTTCTACAGAACCGTCAAGGTAGAGCTAGGAACCATAGGAGCCAGAATTGAATGCACAATGCTTAACTCCTAAACAAATAGCCCTGCCTTGTCCAGCTGGTGAGTTTCCAGTCATCCTTTAAAGCCTAGTTCATCTGCATAGTGGTGCATACCCTTAATCTCAGCACTCTGGAGGCAGAGGCAGGAAGATCTCTATGAGATCAAAGTTAGCCTGGTCTATATAGACTTCCAAGTCAACCAAGGCTATATAACAAGGCCTTGTCTCAAAAAATACAAACAAAAAAAGTGGGGAGGAAACCAAATCAAGTTCTTTCCCTCCACATCTCCAAGCTGGTAAGTCTACAGAGGCAGGAACAAGCTCTTCTATTCAGCCGCTAAGATCTGAGTCTTACTGTTACTAAAGTGCCTCCATTATTCATTCAACCACATTATCACCATCTGCCCGTAAGAAGAGCGGCATAGGAAGCTGCAGTGCGTCTACCACCAGTTAATAAAGACACTGTTGATCCTACAGAGTTCCAGAAGGAGCGTGGACCATAAGATAAGTACTCACCAGCAGACAGTGGGCAAAGTCAGGACCTCCCACCAAACCAGTGAAATTTCCCAGCTGCTCGGCAAGAGCTAACAGCACCTCATCTTCATCATAAATAGTATCTGAAAATAACAACAGTTGGTTACCGCACAGGGCCAAGTGCCACTGAGCCAGCACTCACAGTGCTGTTGCAACTATAATCCTAAAAGCATTTTCTTCCCTCCCTAAATCAGAAGTCTTCCTGAATGTTTCACAGAATTATTAGGAAATTTATATCCTGGGGCTGGAGATGGCTAAGGGCACTGGCTGCTCTTCCAGAGAAGCAGGGCTCAATGCCCAGCACCCACATGGCAACCTACAAATTGTCTATAACTCCAATTCCAGGGCATCTGACATTTTCACATAGACACACAGGCAAAACGCCAATGCTCATAAAATAAATCATTTAAAAACAAATTCATATTTCACATCAATTACCCTCCATTAGCTACACAGTTTATGTTTGAGTATGTCTGGTTGTATGTCTATACACTTTGCAGAAGGCACCTGCTCAGTCTAGTACTTATCACTACTCTAGGTAACAAACTAAAAAAAAAGGAAGAAAGTTTGAAAGCCAATGGAAAATGGAGCGTGTTTCTTTCAAGGGACACATACCTGTAAGGAAAGGCAGCAGTTCAGTTCGAGTCCTTTCTACCCCGAGTGCTAGAGCAATAGTTGATAACTTCTTAATACTGTTGAGACGGAGCTTTAAAAACAACGTGGGAGGAAGAACAAAACAAAGAGATGATTGCATTTCAGGTCAAAGAAGCAAACAGGTGAGATACTGGGACGCAGTATGCGAGAGGATGAATGAGCCTTTCGCTTAGATCTTAATCCTAGGAAAACTCAAGGGCCGTTTAACACGTCATTAGCCAGATGCTATCCTAGGGAGAACACTTTAGGGCCGTGGAAGAAATGAATGAATGAAAACACGCGGACAGTGAGAGATTCTGAAAAGAGAGAACTCTGGACGGAAAGAAGCAGGTGAAACGGTTAAGCACAACTCCTCCCTTTTCAGGGAAAAGTTCCATCACAACTGATGCACCTCTCATCTGGGTTAATCAGCTGCGGTGCTCTTTCCACCCAACCAGCCCTGCTAGTTTGCTCGCCGACAGACACTCCGCAGCACTTCAAAGGGAACCCGGGCCGGGGGCCGAGCCTCCGCTCCCAGAGGCCCCGCAATCCGCCTGCGCTCCTCCACCCGAGGCGCAAACTGGTTCCCCGCCCACTGCCGGGAGCACCTGGACGCCACCGGCACACAGGGCTGGGGGAGGGCGGCCGGAGCTGAGACGGACCACCGCGGACCCGCCGCCCCACGCCTCCGTCCCGTCCCGTCTCGGGGCTGAATCCGACTCTGCCACCCCGGGGTCGCCCCACGGCTGAGCCGGCCTTCCCGCTTCCCTACCCCGTGCGCTTCCGCCCTCGTCTCTGCTGCCCAGCCCAGCCTAGTACCTGCACGTCCTCATTGCGGAGCTCGTCGATTAAAACCGCGATCGGGTAGAGCGAATCGTCTCCATCTCCGCCCGCTGCCCCCGGACCGGCCCCTGGCCCTGCTGCGCCCGCCATGTTCTTTCTCCTCTGGCTGGTCGCCGCCGAAGGCCCCGCGCCCAGGCCACGCCCTGCGCCCAGGCCACGCCCCGTGCCCAGGCCACGCCCCACACACGACCAGGCGGGGCTAAGTCCAATCCGCCGGCTCCAAGGAACCGATGGAGTCAAGTTTTTTCCCTGTGCGTGGAGGCTCCGGCCTGACCCCCATTGCTGGAACTGCAGGTCTGAACTCCAGAAGAAGGGCGGGCTGAAGAAACCAATGGAACCCCTGCATCCTTTCCCCAGCCGAAAGAAACAAGGGCAGGGATTCATCGTCTGCTTGCTGCTCTCTGAAGGAGAGGGCCTTAGTGATTGATGGGTGCTGAGCCTCAGTAGAACTCAAAGACCGGCCAGGAGGAAGAAGCTTTAACACCTCCCCCGCCACCCCCACTCTCGGCTTCATGCTGGCCCTGAGGCACTGGGTCTCAGTCTTAATTTCCCCCTGGGCGACAAGCCTCCACACAACCCCCACCCCCACCCACATACTCACCTTCCTCTGGCCTGTTTGCCAGAATCGTGGCTGACTCCTGCTCCTTAAGACAATGAGGGCAGAAAGAGAAAATGAACAGAGCTGTCCAAACTCCCCAGTCAATATTTTTTCCACGCAAGCTGTTCAAAACATGCTGCTCTCTTGTTTTTGTGTTTTTCAGTGTGGTACTGGAATGGCGCCTTCTGTTGTATTGTCTTTTTTTCCCCCTTTCTTTACCAAGAAGCACAGCAACCTAATATAATTGAGTAGAGTTTTATTCTTCCCAATTCAGTGCGGGTGAAAACTGGCCTCCCTAGACCTCCAGGAGTCCTCCTAAAGGACCCCAGGAGGAGGTGGTCGTGGGCATTTTCACACAGAACTTAATGGAAAATTTTCCACTTGCCCTATGGAACAGCACAAAGTAACTAACTCTGTTTCCAGCTTAGATATAACCAACTTAGATTGCTAGCTCTGTCCAAGTAGCACAAGTTGTCAGATGACACTGTTTGGTTCCTTAAGGAAATTGTCATTCATAAACACAACTTAGGAGATCTTTTTTCTTTTTAAAGCATGGGACTCCTAGTAGGAAATAGGAGATAACCTTTCATACTCAGAGTTTGAAAACCAACAGACTTCAGTTTGGGGTTTGTTTGGTTTTGTTTTTGTTTTTCAACTTCTGTCCGTGAGTGAATGTTTGGAGGCTCTATTATTTTGATAACTTTTAGATTCACTTAAGTCGTGGTCTGCACTGCTGGGGTGGTTCTTTAAATACAAAACATGTGTATGTGTGGAATGTATACACGAGCCACTGAACAAGTGTAGTCAGAGGACAGCTTGCAGAGCGGGTTATCTACTTCTACCAAGTGGCTTCCAGTAACTGAACTCTGGTTGTCAGGCTTGGTGACACAGGCCTTTATCCACTGAGCCATCTAGCTGGCCCCCAAGGACTACCTGAATCAGCCTTGCCACATGATTTCAACACCTATATTTGCATGAGTTTCAGCCCAGCTTTTATTGTTCTGGGCTCATAAGAAATGAACAGAGGTGGAAGCTAAATGAAAAATAGCTTTTTATGCACAAAATGAAAGGCAACCTGAAGAAACTGGAGGTGTGAGCTTGGGCGGGCAAGGCCCGACTCACAAAGCATGGCTTAGCTTTAGTATCAGACACATTTGTCATATTGAATTGCAAAGATAGCAACATTGTTGATTTTAATATTGGTCTTGTGGCTTCATTTGTACTTTAACTTGTAAATCTGGTCTTGTAGATGTATAAAGACTGTAGTTTTAAAAGAACATAATATTGGCTTATATTTGAAAATTTAAGTAACGTTTAATAATTTGACGGAGTTCTTGGGATCTTTGTTGTTTTTGTTTTTCTCTTTAAAAGTGGATCCAGCCATGTTTACGGGTTCAATGCCTTTAATCCCAGCATGAGGAAGACAGAGAGGCAGGTGGGCCTTTGTGAGTTTGAAGCCTGCTTGGTCTACATAGTGAGCTCCAGGTCACCCAAGGCTACTACACAGTAAGATCCCGTCCCCCCAACTCCCAAAAAGGTACACCCAGGTGCATGCTCACAATCTCAGTGCCTAGGAGGCAGAGGCCGGAGAGCACAGACAGCTCTAGGCTGGCCAGGGTTCACAGAGCAGCCTTGATGGGTCCTCAAGCCCTCGATCCTACCTGCACTTGCCTAGCATGTGGCAGATACCCCTCCATCTCCCTGTAGGCCCTTATCTAAAATGTGTTCCAAAGTGATAAAAGCAGCAAGCACAGAGAGGAGAAGACTAGTCAACCGCACACCTTGACAGGCTTATAAACTCAGCACACCGGCATCAAGCTCCTCTGCCTCAAGTCACTGTGATCTGCTCATCCAAGCACAATGCGTGGAGGCCTAGGGAATAACTATGATTAAATATGAAATCACAAACTGAGGAAACAGAGCCTAGAAATTGCCTGGTTTGAGAGTCACGGAGGCCAGACTTCAATTCCCACCTGTCTCTGACTCACTGTGACCTACCTTCTCCCTAAGCCTCACACTCTCCACCCCCTCACCCCTGTAAAACAGAGTTAAACACCTGGTTCCTACTCCAGTACCTGGGAAGCTATGAGAACAGAGAGGTAATAATGCAGAGATGCTAGTAAACCCTTCCGCAAAGAATGAAAATGGGCCACAGCAGGGAGCAAGGGGGCCAAGTCCCAAGGCAGACGTTCAGGGTCATCAGTGTACATTCCTGGGCCTATGGTTGTAGCTCAACAACAGAGCATGTACTTCAGATGCTCGAGGCTTTGGGCTTAATCTACAGGATGAAAATAAAAAGTTAACTAGAGAGACAGTTCAGTGGGTGAGAAAGAGCACTGGCTACATAGCATGGGCTTGCTGCCTGCCAGCCTGGCTCTGGGCTAAGTGAGAGACACTGTCTTAAGGGGAGACGTGGGAGAGACTGACAGAGCAAGACACCCTCACAGATGCCCCACCACACACACACACACACATACACACACACACACACGCACACATGCTTTTTAAAAAGAAAAAAAAACAAACTTAATGCGTCCCAGCACTCAGGAGGCAGAGGCAGGTGAATTTCTGTGAGTTCCAGACCAGCAAGGGCTATATAGTGACACCCTGTGCAGATTCCTGGGCTCTACCTCAGACTTACTGAGTCAAAGTCCCTGAACCTGGAGCCAGACATCTCCCAAGGCTCTCCAGAGACTCTAATGTGACAGATGATTGAAACTCATTAAAAAGTTTATCTGGAAAGACAATTACCAGGTCAAGCAACAAGCACTGCCTCAGAAAAGAACTAAACTCTTTGGAGTCCACCTCTGTCCAGGAAACGCAAATAATAATGCTAACTGCTTATCAATAAGCAATGCTTTCCTACTGGCTATGGGTTTTGCCTGATTACAAAGTTCATTCCTGGCGGCCTGTCATGCTCTACCAACACAGCCTGTGGTGTTGAACGACTTCCATACCACATCTCCTTTCCAAGGCTGCTTAGCTTCCTCTCCACTTCCCACACACACTACAGAAAACTAATGACCAGGGAGCCCAGGGGCAGCAGCTGAGTCTAGACTGAGGACTGAAGGTAGGCTCTGGAAGCGAGACTGTCTCAGTATAAAACCAGAGCTCTGACACCCACATAGCAGTTCACTCACTCAGTGTGAATTGAGAGAAAGCAAGATTAGACTTGTCCAGTTCCTGTACACAGCAAGAATATGAATGCACAGGCTGGAGGAAGCCATAGCCATCACAGCTCTCTCACACAGATAAGGGCTAAGCCAGGAAATCTGAATGACACCGTCATTCTCAATGGGCCCTTTGCCTCTGCCTTAGAGACAGGTTTACAAACAGGCACAATGGCAAATGCTGGCCAGTCCACAGTTGCTAGCTAGGGCAGACCTGTAGGTTATAGCACACCTAGACATGTGTCTCACTGACAGCATCAACAAGAAAGGGATGGATCTCTCGATTTGTAAACTCAGCTGAGCCACACGGTGCCTTCCCAAGACTGTCATCCCTTAGCATCAGCCAAGGGCTTGGTTGCAGGACACACTTGTGTGCCAAAAGCCAACGAAGCTCAAGGCACTTGTATAAGATGGTTCGGTACCTGTGTACAGTCTGCACCCAGCCATGTGTTTTAAATCATCTCCGGATCATTTCACGTAAAACGGTCAAAGCTGTAACTATCTCTGTAGGCATAATGACAAGGAAAGAAGTCTGCTCGTGGTCAGTAAACTTTCCTTTGGGTCTATGGATGAGAGACCTATGGATAAACAGATCTGTACCTTCTTTTAGCAGGATGACCCTGTAAACTGACTCCCAGGTCCATGTTTAATTCATTACAACACCGCAGTTTCCATGGTGGCTCTAGGGGCACGCTTAAGTTTGCATTTACAGGAACACTGTTGCATCCTAAGGAACGCAAATATTTTCCCCTCAATTTCATATCAATCTTTCCACCTTCTTTCCTTCTTTTCTCTTCATGGCAAGCCTCCCTCCCCACTTTCTCTAGACGGCAATACTCCAGCAGTGAGCACAGGACTTAGCTGAGGGCACACAGCAAAGGGATGACTTCAGGACTTGGGAGCATAGCAGCTGTTCTCTTGCCCATCATCCCCTGAGTGTCTAGGGTAAACCACCACTTGAATTCTTGGTGAGAGCAAATCAAAGAACTGGTCTAATCAAGTCTGGTAACATTCTAGGAGCTAGGGACACTGCAGGCTGCAGTGCCATGTCTACCAGCTGTATGTTGCTGGGCAAATTACTCTCTATGAATCTTGGTTTGTGTATCTCTGGTCTGTCCAAGTTACCTCGTGTGGCTGTTCAGAAGATTAAATGCATAGGATGCTTAGTGCAGGATATGGCAGTGTGCACCTACGAAGCAGCACTCAGTATAAATAGGAAGATCAGGAGTTCCAGCCAATCTTAAGAAAACTCAGCCCACTGCATTCACCTTTAACCTTAACCTTAGCACTCAATCAGGAAGAACGAGCACGTGGGTCTCTACGAGTTTGAAGCCAGTTAGTGATATTATACACACACACCACAGACAGACAGACACACACA